CTCGTTTGGAGAGCCCGATATGTTATTGGCTTCCTTGGCTTGTACCAATCATAAATTGTCTAAGAAGGGAGAGTAAAACTCCTTTTAATTTCATTACAAAGCAAAAAAAGTTTTATCTAATGTAACAATAATGTTTATAATATTCTATCTTTATCTACAGACGATAGTCTCATAGTTCGACATCTGCTCTTATAATCATCCCAAGGGAGATAGGCACCACATATACGTCGATGTCCAGTGAATGCACTACGTCCATGCAAAACTCGCCAGTTATCGAACGTGACCACACGTCCAGGGGGCAGACTATCCCATAACTCGTTCTTTGCGGACGTCAATAGTTTATGCCACATAAATAAAGCATCGTAAAATTCATCTAACTGACTACTACTCAAGTGATTCATGGTAGATCGATCGTCGTTATTATATCTGATCTGATATAGATCACCATCAGGACCGTGGTTGAGGATAGGAAAGGCACGAGGGGTAGGTGCAATAAGGACATTTTCATCGCCTGCCGAGTGAGTTGGTATCAGCGTCTTGGACAGCGTTTGGTAAGCATTAGGTGATCTTTCCTTGAGTTGCTTTGCGACATGAAACCCATCCACAAATAAAGAATCACCTCCCTTGCCATTAAATTCTAGTTTGTGAAACATTTGTAAGCCCGAAGGTTCAGTGAAATAGGTGTTGTCAGTGTGTGCACCCAGTGCGAGTGTCGTGTAGGCTGTGTCTGCGTGTGCCAAGTCCGCAGTAAAGGACCAGATGCCTTCGGAATAGTGTGTTTCTCTGAGGAAACAGATGCGGCGAGCCAGGGCCTCTGTTGCTTCTACTGTTGTTGGCACACCTTCTACAAAGGCAATACCGTATGTCTCGAGTTGATCCAGCCATTGTCTAAGTCCTTCGTCTGTGTTCATAACGGCCTCATGAGGCACAGCATTCAGTTTGAGACTAGCGTCCCAAAGTCTAGGTCGTTTGCCCTCAAGAGGATCGGATGCTCGAAGAATAGGGCTATAAGAGTGAGTGTAGAGCCAATCCCACGCATAAGTGCTTTGATGGCCATCAGGCCAAGTTACTTGAAGGCCAGCTTCAGTACTCTCGACAGAGATGGGATGAATATCTCTGGGAATATCGAATGTATTCACCAATCGTTGGCGGGTTATTGGATGATAGCATTTTTCGCAGCGACAGTGGTCTCTAAGCCAAAAATGATGATAGACACTTGTCTTTTGTGCATTCCAGTCGAGGTAAACTTGCTTGTCATTCGCAATGCCTGCTCGCTGTGGAGTGTTGCCTGTGCCTTGTAAGCGCTTTTTTGCCTGTGCTAAGTGAAGTCGAGGAGCAGTAGTTGAGAAATAAGTCTTTTGTATCAGTTGAAATAAGCCTCGGCGTATCATTCTTTAAAGAAAGAAAATGGGTCCTTTAAATTTTCATCTCTTTTTCTTCTTTGTCAGCTTTGTGTTACGTTACGACGGTGCCTTTTTAAAATCACACAATAAAATGTTTAAATGAGTTTCTATAGAAACATAGAGTGCTGTTATGCTGCTTGAGCTTGAAAAGAAGGATTAAATAAGTAAAGATTATTATATAAAAACAAATAAAAGAGAACTGGTCGCATCCCTCTGTCCTTTTGTTAATTGTGGGATATTTTTAAATATGACAGGTCTGGCTTTTTATTCCTTTAGAACGAATATTATTATGTTGATTTGGTCTATTTCGAGTCCTGTCCTTTTTTTCAAGTCATTCCTATTCACTCAAAGTAACGGCTTTACATTCATCTGTGCCATTTTTATTATGAACCATAGGGCTACACGCATTGCCTATTTCGGCCACCTATTTTGTTTGCTGTCCTTTCAGCAGTCACTTGAAACGTCATTTGTTTTCAATTCTCCCTCTTTTCTTTCTTACAATCTCTTTACGATCTGTAATGTCACACTACGATAGGGAAAGAGATTACGATAGCAGCAGACCAAGAGATATAGATAAGCCTAATCCTTGTAGGCTCTATGTTGGTATGGCCTTGTCTTATAGCAGTAACATCGACTAATATGTATATAGGTAACGTCAGTCGCTATGTCCGTGAGAAGGATCTTAGGAATTTGTTTTCAAGATATGGAAGAATCAGAGACTTGATATTGAGAGTGGGTTACTGTGCATATGTGTTTATTGCCTTGTCCCGTGCTGATTTATGTTTTGTTTTTATGTTTGGATGAATTAGAATTTCTATGCATTTGTTGAATATGATGTAAGCAAAAAGAGAAAAAGAGGGAAAAAAAAAATATATTACTGATGCAAGCATATATAGGATGTCAGGGATGCAGAGGATGCTACTAAAGAACTCAACGGTTATAAGCTTGAGGGCGAGAGAATTGTTGTCCATGTTGCCAACGTTGCTCGTAGCCGTCTCAACCGTACCAGAGATCGTGAAGACCGTGACAGGGATAGCCGTCGTCGTGATGATAGCCGTGAACGCGATCATGATTATAGATCAAGCAGAAAAGGCGGTGACTCTAATGATCCTGACAGATGCTATAACTGCGGTGAATTTGGTAAAGAAAATGATTATATCAATGTAAACAATAGACTCACAATTAAATATAGGTCATATGTAAGTGCAAATAACAATGAAAGGGAAAGAGACTCACTTTGTTTTTTCATGGAACCTTTTGTAGTGCAAATGAATGGTAAGTGATATTCATATATAAACATACTAGTAACTCACTCTTTGTTGACAGTTCTTTACCAAAAGGAAGGTAATAGACACATAAATAGATGAATTTAAAAAAAGGAGCCTTATTTTGCTCTTGTATAGTGGCGAACGTGCTATGAGATTCCAAAAAGGAGTTTGCTTGTAAGTCAATGATAGATTTCTTTTGTTGTAGGCCAACAATTATAAATTAGTGAATGTGGTGAGACTGGCCATCGTGCTCGCGATTGCCCGTAAGTAAATAGAAAGAATATTTAAAAAAGGGTTAACTCTTTGTCTAGTGATAGGAGAAATGGCTCTCATAGACGCAGACGTTCTAGATCACGAAGTGTTGAAAAACGTTCCCGTTCACGTAGCGAGAGACGTTCTCGTTCAGACAGCCCTGCCAGACGATCCCGTTCAAGAAGTCCGGTAAGACGTTCCAGACGTTCACGTAGCCCCAGAAGATCACCCAGCCCTCGTCGTCGCTCCGATCGCTCTTTTTCTCGCAGCCGTTCTAACTCAGGAAACCGTGCTCAATCGAGTAGTCCTAAAAGAAGAAGAAGAAGCGTTTCTCGATCAGTCAGCCCAAAGCGCCGCCGTTCATACTCTTCCCGCAGCAGACGTTCCAACAGCTCTGAATCAGTGAAAGAAAAGGACGAGAGAAGTTAATATCACCATTACGTCAAGTTCCGAATAAAGTTCATCACTGAATTTTAATTTGAGTGTTTATTGTGTTTTGCGCGCGCAAATTTTTTTGCTCTTTTACTTGTTCTTATCATGCCGACTGTCTACTCTTTTGCAAACGGAGACGCGCTTTCCAGTGGTTTAAATAGTTTTGTTGAAAAGGTGTCACGTGAAGCAATCGCTGACCATGGTTACCTTTCTGTTGCCATCTCTGGTGGTTCATTACCCAAGATTCTCTCAAAGGAATTAGCCCACAATAAGAATGTTGACTTTTCCAAGTGGCATATGTTTTGGGCTGACGAACGCTGTGTTGCTCATGATGATGCAGACTCGAACTTTTTGGAAGTGAAAAAGTCCCTGTTGGACCATATCCCTCAAATTCCAAAGGATAACGTCCATCCTATTCATGAAGCTTACGCCAAAGCTAAAGACGCAGACAAAGCTGCCGAGGAATACGAGGACCAGTTGAAACGATTCTTTAACAACCAGTTACCTTCATTTGACCTGATGCTACTCGGTATGGGCCCCGATGGTCACTGCTGTTCCTTGTTTCCTGGACATCCTCTATTACAAGAACATTCCCGTTGGGTTGCTCCCATTGTGGATTCTCCCAAACCCCCACCAGAACGTATCACGTTAACATTCCCTGTCGTGAACAACTCAAAGCTTGTTGTCTTTGTTACTGCTGGTGACGGTAAAAAGGACATGGTGCAAAAGATCATTGAAGAACCCCAACATGAATTCCCTTGTCAGAGAGTCAAACCCACACATGGTCAAGTTTATTGGTTTATTGATGCTGCAGCTGCTGCTAAACTTCGAAAGGAATCGTGTTCGGACTATAAACTGTAATCTCCTTTTTTTTTTATTTGGAATGAAGACAAAGGGGTGCAGACGGAAACCGGGATCACGTATATAGTAAAATAAATAAAATCTTTGAATTACTATAAATGTAAATGATTACCCCGTTAATGCAGCTTTGCATCTTTATGCTCAAAACCATTACTGTGAATATGTAATCTCTTTTATAAAGAAGCATAATCAAATAAGGTGTCTTTAACAAAGAGAGAATTGTTCGTAAACAAGATCAAATACTTCAATTCTTTTCCCTTAATTAATATAAATCCCATTTCTGGAAGATTAAATTTTCCTTCCGTTTTGGCAAAGACGTTCAATTAATTATTCTCCCCTTTAGAAATCTTTGGAATTTTTTTTAATTGTTTTACTTCAATGATGGGAAGGAAGAAGGGGAAAGACAAAGGCTCAGTTCAAAGAATTTTTTTTTAAAAAAAAACATATAAAAGAGGGCAATCTTTTCTGAATCGACCCAAACTTATCAAACAATCTTTTCTTACAAACAATCAAAACATGGCTCGTATTTCTCAAATCTGTCTTGCTCTTCTTGCTGTTGCCTTCACTGCTACTTCTGCTGCTCCTTGTTATGATGGTCAAAGCTCAGTTGCTACTGTTAACTCTAATGGTTCAGTTACACCTATTGCTCAAGTTGATGTTACCAAGAATGCTGATGTCGACAATGATGAAGCTGAAAACGACGGTGATGATGTCTCTGACGCTGTTGATGCCTCCGTTGATGTTGATGCCTCTGTTGACAATTCTGTAGATGACTCTGTCTCTGACGATGACTCTGTTGATGACTCTGCTGATGTCTCTGATAATGCCTCTGATAATGTTAATGCCTCCATTGATGTTAATGCCGAAGCTACCACTGATAGTGTATCTTGTGTTGATGGTGATAGCACTGACATAGACAATGTGTCTACTGATGATATCAAGGATACTATTGATGTTATTACTGGCCATAGCTCCACTAGTGTCACTCATGAAGCTAATAGTGTAGTCGCTGCTGCTGACGGAGTAAACAGAAACTCCCTTCTTGGCGTGACCACTGGTTACATTGGTACTGGTCCTATTAACTTGGATAACCTCGCTACAAATGCTCTCAGCTCTGGTAACTTTGGAGATGGTATTTACCAAGCTCAAGCCGATCGTGCTCCTTCTGTTACCTCTGTAGAGAGTGGCAATGGCGGTGGTCTTCTTGATGTTACTGCTGGTTATATTGGCACTGGTCCTATTAGCGCAGACAATGCCCTTACCAATCTTCTTGCCTCCCGTTCAAATGGCCCTTTCTATGCTCAGTCTGCTGATTCCTCTGATGCTCTTTCTACTGTTGATGTCAGTGATGGCACCAGCGGATCGGTTGCAAATGTTGCTGCTGGATACGTAGGAACTGGTGTTATCAAGGCCGACAACCTTGGTACTAACCTTCTCAGTGGCGATGGCTCTAACGGTGGTCTTCTTAACCGCATCTTGTAAAAAGAGAAGGAAAAGAAAGAGATAGCATACGCATAGCATCTTAGCATTTTTCACCATTCATTCATACTTTTATCCATCTTTTCATTACTTACAACATTTTTTTAATAAACATAACCCATACACTATATAACTTATTTGAATGCGTCTTTTTGAAACAAAGTATGTACTTATTATGAGTTTTGATTATTTCTCTTTTTGTACAGTATATCCATTACTAAGGTTATTGCCCTCAGGATTCTTTGTAGAATTACGAATTTTAAAATATGATTATAATTGCACTTTTGTCTTGGTGATTTGCTTCATTTTCTCACTCATTTTATCATTGTATAATCCAAAATTGCCATGCAAATGAGAGTAGTATTGCGTACTTGGGTTTGTTTACGTAAAGGATCTGAAGGCTATGTAATATCGATTTGAATAGTAAATCAATCACCATAGACTAGCTTGGAAGTAAAATCTGCTTCAAAAGCCAAAGATTACAAGATAATCAGTACTGTGGGTATTAACAACCAAGACTACAGTTGGTAGTAAATAAAATACAACAATGTGTGCTTTCTAAACGTATGTAACCGACTGCTCGTGATATTTGTTAAAGATAAAAATATTAGGACGTAAAAGTCAATAGGATAAAGGAATAGTGTATTCATTAAGTAAATACCCTATAGGCTTATGATTGCTAGTGAGTAAAGGTTTTACTTTATTACACTTTGTGGGGACTTCATTTAATGTCAAAGTGTTACTCTTGCAATTATATTAGTGAGGCTTCTAGGCCATTTATACAAGTGAGTCTCTAAACTGATAGGTTATACACTCTTTCCGGAAAGTAAATTCGCCTGTGATCGAAAATAAATGCATCTAATGGTGAGAACAAAATTCATGCTGTACGAAATGTAAACTTGTCGTCACCAAGGATATTTTCGTAGTACCAGCCTTGAAATCCATGGATATACTGTATTTCCAAATTGAGATGTCGTATTGAAACCATTGTAATGTTACCAGAGTAATAACAAATACAAAAAGAATATGACTCATTATCCCATTTGACAGTAATATTAATAGGTGAGCTGCCTTGGAGTTGCAATTAACTTGATATTGGAATAGCCCTCTTTAATCTCTTTGTAAAAGTTTAAATTCTTTTTTCGGTTTTTCCATGTAGTCATGTCTGGCAATGCATATTCTTGAATGGTCACGAAGCAGATTGCTCCTATTTGATATGATTTCTTTGTCTCAAGTACTCGATCCTGAAACTTGTTTGGAAAAGAGTCCTTTTTTTACTTCTTTACAGCAGTTATCAAATGTCCCTCTGAGTGTTCAAAGATTCACAAATCAAAACTAGCCTGTCCTCATGGTCCTTGCTCTGAGTCGCTTGTCCCGCCCTCTCTGCTCTCTGGCGCGTATCTGGAACGTTCCCCAATAGTCTCTTCTGACGCCCTGGGTTCTCTCTATCCTCCGTTCCTTTTTTTGTTTGTTTAAACAATCCTGGGTAGTTATCGCTACCCTCCCCAGAATGCATCTTGGTGGTAAGTAAAACTAATATTAGGATATATTCCCTAATACTAACATACTTTTTCTCTCTTTTTCTACATACACTCATTATCTCTCTCCCTTTTAACATGATGTCGCTTTATTCAAACATAATTTTCTTTGTCGTCTTTTTACGTAAATAATTTTTTATTTTACAACAATATTTTATAAAATCAACGTCAAAAATTAATAAAAATACAGTAAGAGGTATATGGTGTGTAAATACTACACTGCCACTTATTCAAATCATTTCTAGATTGTATCCTTTCATTTTTTTATTCTTTCCCATTGATGCGATATTGAGTTTTTGAAACAAGTCTTTGTTTAGATTAAATCCTGTAAACAGTTAGGCCATATGATCCCTTTCTGTTGTGTTCACTCTGAGCTCATAATTATCTTCTCCGATTTATACTCTTTTGTATATAATGTTGTTGTCTTGATCGTTTAAAGGGACCTTTTTTCACTTTTAAATATTTTTATGAGCTTTCAAATAATTCTTCGTGAGGGCATCCGTGGTGGGTTTGTTGGACCTACAACAAGGTAAGTGCCGAGATTGAAAAAGAGACTACGAAATAAACTAGTTTTTGTTAAAGATATGCAGTTCAAATCCAAGGCGACAAGTCAGGAGCAACTGTTACGCAGTCAACCTTGAAACCAGACTCAAAGACAGATTATAATACGATGGCTGGTGGTGCTTCATTGTAAGTAGGCATGATGTGAAAGCTATATTTTATTAACCTTCTTTTCATCCATAGTGAAGACTTGGCTAATCTCGTACAAATTTTAAAGGACCAACTTTCCAAGTTACCCACAGAACAACCTCCGGGTAGCGAAGATATCTATGACTTAGATACCTCAATTATTTTTGCCTGCGATGATTTCGAATGGTGCAATGGTAAAAAAAAAAAAAGGGAAAAGAAAGGGTATTTGTTTGTATTTACATCATTTATTTGTACCAAAATAAGGTGGTCCAGGAGGCTGTGCACAAGGTCAATCGTCTGTAAAAGCAACCGAAGAACAAAAGGAAAAGTTTAAAGAATTGGTAGAGTTATTGAAAGGTGTTGGTCAAAACTTTGCTATTTCAGCCGCGTGATTCTGTTTCAGCCTTTTCTGCTTGTTCCTTTAACTTGGCTAAGCGTTCACGGTTTCGTTTTAATAAAATTCTATTCACATTAGCTTTTTCAATATCTGCCATTTCATGCCAGTTGTTGATTCTACTCATTGTACCATCCTCGTTAATGACTATGCAATGGTAAGCCCACGTATATGTCTATTGTTGTTCATACTTTACCTACTGGGCCAAGTTCTTTTAGTTTGAGTGTATCATTGACACCAATAGTCTGTACTGTTTCTTCTGCAGTTGCTGGTAAAGCAAGAAGAGGTTTCTTTGATTCAGAAGCAGTTGTCATTCTAGCGATTCTAATAAACTGTCTAAATGGTGAAAATGTTGACATAAAAATTAAAAAAAAATAGAATAGACCAGTTTTATATGACCGCAAAGAAAAAAGTTCTAGAAATTACACTTTTTCTCTCATTTTCTTTACAATGACATGAAATAAAAAATTAAACTATGTATTTTACTAAAGCCTTTAGAGAGAAAGGAAAATATGACTATATTATAATATAGCAAGTAAAGCTACATTCTATAGTTTTTATAGTACAACCTCCCCTGAATTGTCATGTCTAAACCAAGGTCTCTCCTAATAAAAAGGAAACTTTTTATATATGTTAAAGTATAATGAATTAAGGTTGCTAATATTATTGTATCTGTAAGAAAATGCGCTTAGCTTTTGTTTGAACAAAGGAGTACCAGAACAAGTTACACTAACAACTTTTATGCAGCGCAATATTTACCAAGATAAAGTGATTGTCCTATGATGTTTTTTTATTATAATTGTATTTCTTTAAAATGAGGCATATCATTCATAATCTCATGTAAAGCATTTGTGGGCTATCGAGATATAGTGTTTATATACAACAGTAAGAGAAAACAGCCAGAAAAAAGAGTCTTTTGTTTATTAATATACTTTCACTCTGTTTGTAATGCTGCCGTTAATTCCTCCTTTGAGGGGGCTAAATCTAATTTGTCAAATCTTCTTGTATCATAGAAAGTCGCTGATACAATTCTTCCATCAAAATATCTACCATTCAAGTCTTGGACAGCCCTTTTTGCTGCTTCTATGTCTGTAAACTTTACAAATATACGAACAGCTTTATCATCAGGTACTTTTCCACGAGGTACCTTTTCTCAATTGTTAATAAATGAAAGCAATCTAGCAAAGTCTAAGCTTACTTCAAATATCAAGCATCTTTCCACTTTGCCATACTTTGAGCACTCTTCTGCTGTTTCTACTTGTAGCATGTCATCTACTTCGCCTGGTCCAACCATATTTGTTAGCATGACAGTCCTCGTCATTTTTTCTTTCACTTCCTTCTTTCCAGGAATATTCACTGCTTTTTGTGTAGAACTATCGATAATGACACCGTTACCATGTCCAATAGGTTTCACTTGTAGAGCCTCTTTTATGCCTTCTCCTTCTTTACCAAGTCCTTTATATATGTCAGAACTTTATCATCTTTATTTAATCTAGACCTCACCTTGACCTTCTTGCCAACCATATTTTGCTAATACTTTCCTTGCAATGTTTTGAACTGTAGCTAGTCTTGCATCATCTGGTCTGAGATTTCTTTTTAATAACTGTCTAATTCATTATTTATGGCTTACTTTGATTGTGGTAACTCTATAGGCGACTGTGGCTCTCTATGCATTTGTTGTTGCTGCTGTTGTTGACTGAGCATCAATCTTCGTTTATAAACGTCCTCTGCTGTTTCATTTAGATCTATCTTTGCTGGTGATGTGGAGGGTAGAGGTACAAAAGATTGGTTGTATGCTGACAAACTTGTTCCACGATATTTAGGTACTGTATTCATACATGAATCAATGATAAGTGTAACCTATACCCTGAGTGTTTCCTCTTACCTTGTGAGCTTGGTGTTGGGGAAGGAGTTCGAGATTTTGATCGTGAACGAGAATATGAACGGGAATATGAACGAGAATATGAACGAGCATAAGAAGGTGACCTTGACCTTGACCTTGACCGAGATCTTGACAAGGATAGATTAGATCGTTGTGCCTGTTTTTTTTCCCAGTCTCTTTGCCTCTTTTGCCTTTCGCGAAGATCTTTACGTTCTTCTTTATATTGCTCATAGTCATTAGGACGATGTGGGTCATAGTCTTCCAGCATGTTGAATACAATAGGTTGAGGTTGATTGTTGGTCATATTCTTCTTCTTTCCCTTTTTCTAACCGTTGTTGTGAATAATTTCCGCATTACAATTGCTCTCCATTGTTGTCAGTATTTTTTTTACCTTTGGTTTTTGAATAGAACGAAATCCATTCACGTCATCAGGCGTCGATAAAAGAGGGATCGCACCTAGATCAATAGTACTTGTTGCTTTTGTCTCTTGCTGAACAATGGTATTGTCAAGTGCTTTATCTGTCTTTTCTTTGTTTACTGTTTCCACTGATACTATAGTAGCTCCAGCTGGAATAACTGATCTGTTTATTTTCGGCTTTGCTTGAATAGTAGGCCGACGTAAAACAGGCCTGAATTTGTTGATAGCTGACCAGCCTAATTTTAATGTCGAATTAGAATCAGTCCTTCTATTCCTTATCAATTTACCTTGAGGAGTAGGATGAGCTGTAACTGGTACAACTGGTACTGGTACTATCGGCGCTGTTGGTGCTTCTGTAAAAGATGTGTTTACAGCAGTAGCAGTAGTGGCAACAGAAGAGGAAGAAGAGGTAGAAACCTGGTTAGTCTCAGGAGGAGGTAAAGATGAATAGAGTGAATATAGTGATGAGCTTTGAGCATCTTGTCTTTGTTTAGCCGCTTCATCTTTCTTTTCAGTCTTTGAAGGTGGAAGAGAACCGTACAGGGAAAAAGACATATTATCAAGAAGGAAAAGAAAAAGGAAAATACAAGTTTAAACGCAGAACAGACAGAGAAAGCCTTGTACCAAAGATGGTCCATTACTTTATTGAAAGGCATATAAACAATTTTAGTCAAAACGAACCGACTATCCAATCAGAGAAAGGACACATCGAATCTCGATATCATAAAGAAGTAAAGCAAAGTAAGCAATAGTGTTTCTTTTCTCTTCTTTCTTTTTGCCTTTTTAAACGAAAGCCACATTTTTTCAAGTGACAAAAATAGTATAAATTTCATTAAAAACTACGCTTTTCTTTTTCTTTGCATAAGTTGATTTGAGAGACAATGAGTGATACTGAACGTTCTGGGCCATCGATGGACGATGAGCTTTCACTTCCCAAAGGTAAAATGAATATGACATATATCGACGCTTATATATAACATTTAATAGCTACTGTACAAAAGTTGATTAACGAAATGATGCCAGAAGATATTGTCTGTGCAAAGGATACACGAGATCTATTGATTGATTGCTGTGTTGGTAAGATTAGAGCTAGTCACAGGATCGTTCTATTCATGTTCTAATGACTATATCCTTAGAGTTTATACACTTGATTGCATCAGAAGCGAATGAAATATGTGAAAAAGAGACGAAAAAGACAATTGCTGGAGAGCATGTCGTGGCAGCTTTACAGACTCTAGGTTTTGAAGAATACGTTGAAGAAGTAGAAGAAGTGTTTAAAGAACATAAAAAACAGCAAAAGGTAGGATATTAAATCAAAAGGATCTAAAAACGATACTAAGCTTCGATTAGGATCGAGATAAAAAGAGTACAAGACTAGAGAACACAGGCATATCTGAAGAAGAGTTGCTAAGACAACAAGAGTTACTATTTGCTCAGTCAAGACTTAAGTTTGAAGCACAGCAACAGTAATACTAATCTCTTTTTTTTTCTTCTTATCTTTATATCTCTCCCTTCTCTCTCCTCTTTTGTGTGTACAGTTTATATAAAAAGATGATTGCTGATCCTTTTTTTGTGTGTGTCTTTATTCAAATCAATGTAGAAACACCACTCCTTCAACATCACACAGCTAAACTTATAATTATTTAAAAAGATACAAAAAGAACCGTTAAACTGTTACAATGTATTCCACAACAACCATAAGCATCGGGAGGCAGTAGAGTACAGTGCATCCACTCTCAAATCGAATATTTTTTGAACTTAGTGGTACATTTTTCGAAAATAAAATGGAACATTTAACCAATTAACTTGGAACTTAAGTTGGAGCACACTGTGAACCCAATCTGAACACTTTGAAATTAATATGGAACATTTTATTTAAATAGAGATTTTGTTTAAGCAGTTTTGGAAATGATTTTTAGAGTGTTGAGTAATGTTGACAAGGTGAGATAAAGAGACATCATTACATGCTTCAGTTATTCTTTGTGCGAGTGTTTCAGACTCATAAGTTGATTACGCTTTACTTTATGCTTAACTATTGTACATTTATTAATTTTTGACGTTGATTTTATAAAATATTGTTGTAAAATAAAAAATTATTTACGTACAAAGACGACAAAGAAAATTATGTTTGAATAAAGCGACATCATGTTAAAAGGGAGAGAGATAATGAGTGTATGTAGAAAAAGAGAGAAAAAGTATGTTAGTATTAGAGTATATATCCTAATATTAGTTTTACTTGCCACCAAGGTGCATTCTGGGGAGGGTAGCGATAACTATCCAGGATTGTTTAACCA